ACAGTGTTCTTGTGCCATCTGTAGGAACATACAGTGTTCTTGTACCATCTGTAGGAACATAGTGTTCTTGTACCACCTGTAGGAACATACAGTGTTCTTCTACCATCTGTAGGAACATACAGTGTTCTTGTACCATCCCTTAGGAAAATTGTATTCTATACCATCGTGGGACATTTATCAGATGCGATCAGTTTCATAAGTATTTCAAAGAAGGACATGGAAGTTCGGGAGATAAGTAAGAAAAAAACAACAGCGCTGAACTTTTTCCCAGGTGTATATCTGATGGTCCCAGCAAGTTGGGAGTTAACAAGATACAATTGTATCCAGAATCCTCAACAAAATTTGAAAACAAATACAAATAATATGTTCATATAAACATTATGACAAAGACAATAATATCTTAAAATTTAATTCAAGTAACATTATATAATCTTATTAAAATCCGATCCTCTTCTCAGATTTGATACCTCTCTGCCCAACTGTGATGGCCCAGTCAAAATCAAGGATGTGTTTTGGCGCCAATAATATTTCTGTCTTCTAAAGCAATTCAGCTTTTTATTGTTCACCACCTTTGTCATCGATTCTGAACTTTCGGTAAGAAGAAAACGAAATCCACATAAAGGTTCCCTCGGTTGTGCAACCTTTAGGCTGTATTTTCCATTACACTAAAATATAACGGGGTGTAAAACATCAACAACATATAGCGTGGTCATTATTTTCTCCATTCCGAACTGCATGGTTACATAGTCTTTTACACATACAAAATTCTGATATGCAGATCCAAATGGTTCTGAACTTCTGAAGAAATAGACTGATTGGAGGCTTTCTCAGATTTTAATGGAAAGAGGTTTTGATTCGGAGTCAAAATTGGACCTTTTACAGTTAAAACCCCGTTAATCCAGACAGTTCTTTTCCCAGTGAAAATATTCAGATTAACAAATGTCTGGGTTAACGGAATCGTGGATACAATAGTTAAACTTCGGTTATATAAAGACTCTGCAATGGTAATAATCCAAAATGAACATCACAGATTATAATGACAATTGGTGTGAGAAACTGAATTAACAGAATTACGAAATCTGGTTTCGGGACAAATTTTTATATCCTCTTCACTTGTCCAACAGCTTGATTTATTAGTAAGAGAAAGATACAGCACTCAATGTGACAAAAATGCATCTTTATACTAATGTTGTGATATATATATATGTGACACTAATATACCATTTTGTATCGACTGAGTCTCACGACACCTACAAGGATCTTGACTACAGATTATTGCAATATGTCCAAATTCCTTGATTGGCCACACTCAACATAAACAGTGATTACAATTTATTACCATTACGTTCAACTTAATGTTACAACAACAAATTATTTTCCCGAAGTCAGTTCTGATCATGCGACAAAGGACACGTTAAAGAACAAAATGGCTGCTGTCAAACTCATGTCATATGGTGACATCACAATAAGAACATGGAAGCTACATCATCTGATCACCAGCTCGGTATGGACACAGAATAGGAGTTCTGCAGTATGCAGACAGGAGGAGTTCTGCAGTATGCAGACAGGTTGAAACATGTCTAAGCGGGTTTTCCCCGAGTCAGCTACGGAATGGAGGCCATTTTGTAAGTAAGGCGTGTCCTGTGTCACATGATCAGCAACAGTTAGAAACGGAATATGGTTAATTGGAACCGGATATTGACAAGATTTATTACTGGTATTTCACTCACATCAATTTTCAAAGATACATTTGCAGAACAACACCTAAAAACACTGTACAGACACAGTTCAAAAGTACAGGATTTCTTTCATTCGTTGGTTTACGGAATTTTCTTGGAGTGAGTGAGTTTGGTTTACCACCGCTTTTAACAGCATTCCAGTAATATGGCGGCGTGTCAGCTTAATGTGGGAAGAAAGCCGGAAGTGATGCAGGTCTCAGACGTTTACCTCTTCGGTGAAACCCACAAGCACGGGATTCGAACCCACAACCACCGTTTCTGGCGTGCCCAAGGGACGCAACTCTGCACAGTGGATTGCGGCACCTGAGATGACTGGGCCACCTGTGCCCCCGATTTTTTCTTGGATGGTATTGATTGTCTAAATAGCAATAACACTGAATTGAATTGATATTAACAATACAATCCGTAGGATGTGAAAATGAAATATATTATTTTCTGCATTTTTGCGAAATTTACCTCCTATTTACCAATCACATTCCATCTATCATATTTCTTGTATTTACTTCAAACAAAATGGCGGCACCCAGTGAAAATGATGTGATCAATAATCAAGATCTTGATTGTAATAAAACGCGTCTTACCTCTCGAAGTGCATCAAATTATGTGAGCACCTTGATAAAAAAACATGAAAAGATTTGGAAAATATCTGTTGACGCTGACTTGGCGGTACACAAACTTTGTAAATCCTGCACTCAACCTGAATCTGCACGGCAGTATAGGAACCAAATGTTGATTTCATTACGTGATTTTGATTGGACTATACATAGACTCATCAGTCCAGCCAAAATATGACTCCGAAATTCCAGCCTAGTTTGGCAAGGGTGGAAACTGGACTTTTGTAGTAAGTTAACTCCCTTGCCTCTGGAAGATGAAACAACTAGTCTGATATATTACCCACTGAAATAATTGAGATTAACAGGCTCCGTGATAGTTAAAAAAATCTAGAGTTATTTTTTCATTTCTGACTTTTAGGGTTGATGGGTCCGTAAACCAAGTAATGAAACATAAGACATCTAAAATACAAATGGTTGACTGTGACAAGGAATTGAGAACTAACAACAGAATATAAAACGTCAAAAATACAACTGTAAGCTGTTACAGAGAGCTGAGAAGTACAAAAAGAATATAAAATGTTATCCAAAAACATGCACTTTAGCGCAGAGATGTCATATACATAAGCTGATGAAGCTTAATACATCATCACCATCATCATCATCATAATAATAGTAATAATTATCAGTCTTAACAGACTAAGAAGCAATTGGTTCTGATGAAATGATGTTAACAGTGGCTGTTTTAAAAGTACACCCCCCTGGTTTGTTGTTATTTATTGTGAGTAATTTGTACTCCGAGATGTTTGTTTGTTTGTTTGTTTGTTATTTAACATCGCACTTAGCAATATTCTAGCTGTGTGACAGCAGTCTGTTAATAATCGAGTCTTGACAAGACAATCCAGTGATTGACATCATGAGCATCGATCCACGTAATTGGGATATGATGACATGCATCAACCAAGTCAGCGAGCCTGACCACCCGATCCCGTTAGTCGCCTCTTACGACAAGCATAGTCGCCTTTTACGGCAAGCATAGTCATCTTTTACGGCAAGCATAGTCACCTTTTATGGCAAGCATAGTCGCCTTTTACGGCAAGCATAGTCATCTTTTACGACAAGCATAGTCGCCTTTTACGGCAAGCATAGTCATCTTTTACGACAAGCATAGTCATCTTTTACGACAAGCATGGTCGCCTTTTACGACAAGCATAGTCGTCTTTTACGACAAGCATAGTCATCTTTTACGGCAAGCATAGTCATCTTTTACGACAAGCATAGTCGCCTTTTACGGCAAGCATAGTCATCTTTTACGACAAGCATAGTCATCTTTTACGACAAGCATAGTCATCTTTTACGACAAGCATGGTCGCCTTTTACGGCAAGCATAGTCGTCTTTTACGGCAAGCATGGAAAGACCTCACAGATGTGAACAAGTGTGAGTGTGTGCTACGGTCGGATTGGTTAAAAAAACGTTAAATGGGATTAGAAGCCAAGAAATGTTTCGACCTATTCACTGCTCCTCAAAGATTTCTCCTGGACTCCAAACTCTGAGTGCATGGTTGGCAATTGGGGAAACAATCCTTATTTGGTATGTGATAGACAAGCAGTGTGTGAAATGGTCTCAACATATTCCTGGGCGTGTGGGCTAGCTGAGCTTGAAAGTTAATGGCCAGTTTCAAATTTCACACGCTTAAATATGTTGTAGTTTATGTTTAACAAAATTGAATCTGTGAGGTGTCCAAAAAGTAAACCAACACTGCAAATCATGAGTCAAATCATATGAAGGGGTAAACGCTGATCTCGCAACCCCGATCCGTCATGCATATTAATTTGATTTTTGATGGTCACAATGATCAAAAGAAGCAGGAAGATTTGATCAACTAAGAGGTGGGCATAAAAAAATTCAGTTAAAATTTTAGCTAGGGTCATTTGAAAATCTTTAGTACGAACAAAATTTTGGAAGCCAACAGTCTGGAGGAACGTACAGTGTTCTTGTAACATCTGGAGGAACATGTAGTGTTCTTGTAACATCTGGAGGAACATCCAGTGTTCTTGTAACGTCTGGAGGAACGTAGTGTTCTTGTAGTGTCTGGAGGAACGTACAGTGTTCTTGTAACATCTGGAGGAACATGCAGTGTTCTTGTAATGTCTGGAGGAACATGCAGTGTTCTTGTAACATCTGGAGGAACATGCAGTGTTCTTGTAGGGTCTGGAGGAACATACAGTGTTCTCGTAATGTCTGGAGGAACATACAGTGTTCTTGTAATGTCTGGAGGAACGTAGTGTTCTTGTAGCGTCTGGAGGAACGTACTGTGTTCTTGTAGCGACTTGAGGAACGTAGTGTTCTTGTAATGTCTGGAGCAACGTACAGTGTTCTTTTAGCGTCTGGAGGAACGTACAGTGTTCTTGTACCAAGGTATCAATGGTATCTAAGACATTTCTAAAAATGACTCAATGTCATATGTAGGTCGTTCAAAATGATACATGGAAGTCATGAATACATAAAAAGTGGTGCTTAACTTTTTTCAAGGTGTATATAATAGTATTACGTTGAGACTCAGTAGTATTACAAAAAAACCTGGATCCGCATCCACATCTTAAAATCTTTAAAAAAACCAGCATCACTTTTGTATTCTCCCACAATAATGGTGCATCGAGCAGCCATTTCACTGACAGCTTGGGTGTAAAAAAAAAACATACACTAAACAATGTTTACTAAATTTAATTGTTATTTTGAGAGACGCATTTAATCAAGATAATGTGCTGTTGTGTGAGCAAAAACAGAACTCCATTGTGACATTCAGGTCACATGTGACTTTAATTCTTCAAGTCTTTTAGTATGGCTTGATGACTACCTCTAAACTAACAAGCATGATATAACTAAAGCTGAAAGCGGAATTAACCCAACTAAACCAACCATTAAAATAATTTCAACCGATGCACAACAGTTCTACACCAAACCTTTTCTCTATACATTGTTTGGAAAGGACAGATGATATACACATTTCAAGCTATCAACAAACAGCAGGAGGTCAATTGATGGCAGCGGAGAGAATCACTTGGAACTTTCTGCAGGTTCCGTGGTCTGTGTTTTCAGTTCTATCACACACTCTGTGCCTGGGTAGGCAGGAAGATTGAGACTGTAGCGTTGTTCCAGCGTCTTCGGCACGAAGCGGCCGCCCAGATAGTGGTGTTTGCCCCTGAAGTGGCGGGCACACAGTTTGGGTGCCGTCAGCGAGATGAGCAGCTCTGGGTGGATGCCGTCAGGGTCGCCGCTTTCTACATCCCATCCTGAAAATAGTGAGTGATGGAGTGAGTTGGGTTTAATGCTGCTTTGACTGTGTGGCTTAAAGTGAGTGTGTGAGTGAGAGAGTGAGTGAGCCGCTTTTAACATTATTCCAGTTATATAAATATACACAGCGTGTCAGCTTAATGTGGGAGGAAAGCCCGAAGTGATGCAGGTCTAGGACGTTTACCACTTTGGTGAAACCCACGAGCATGGTATGGTGCTGACAAACCTAGAAACATAATCGGGGCGAACCAGGATTCGAACCCACAATCATAGGTTTCTGGCGTGTCCAAGGGACGAAACTCTGCACTACGAATCGCGGCGCCTTAGACGACTGTGCCAGCCATGCCCCCTGCTTACAGTGAGACAAACGCCTAAAGTGAGGCAGGTAGTAGACGTTTTCACATTGATGACACTCATGACTATGGGCGTGGTGTTTATTTGACCATCAGATCCTCGAACACCTAAGGGCCATAACTCTGCCCACAACTCTGCGGAAATCATGATTACCTGTGAGGGTCTGGCAAACAAAGCATTTATCAAACACGATATAATAACTGATCTACAAAATTAAAATTAAAATTGAAATTAACCATTCACACAATCTGGTTGAACACCAATGATGCTGGCTTGTAATTAATCAAGTCTGGATGAGACAAACAAGTGATTGATATTGTGGGCAACCTCACACACTGTCTGGGTCCGATGACATGCATTCAACCATGTCCCCCAATCATTTAGTCATGAATGAGTTCTTTGGGACCAACTCTAAGCCAAAAGCTCCCCAGGCTATGTTACCTGAAGGTAAATCAATACTTGGACCAGCTCTAACCCAGACTCTCCACAGACTATGTTACCTGAAGGTACATCAATACTTGGACCAGCTCTACCCCAGACTCTCCACAGACTATGTTACCTGAAGGTACATCAATACTTGGACCAGCTCTACCCCAGACTCTCCACAGACTATGTTACCTGAAGGTACATCAATACTTGGACCAGCTCTACCCCAGACTCTCCACAGACTATGTTACCTGAAGGTACATCAATACTTGGACCAGCTCTAACCCAGACTCTCTACAGAATATGTTACCTGAAGGTACATCAATACTTGGACCAGCTCTAACCCAGACTTCCCACAGACTATGTTACCTGAAGGTACATCAATACTTGGACCAGCTCTAACCCAGACTCTCCACAGACTATGTTACCTGAAGGTACATCAATACTTGGACCAGCTCTAACCCAGACTCTCTACAGAATATGTTACCTGAAGGTACATCAATACTTGGACCAGCTCTAACCCAGACTCTCCACAGACTGTTACCTGAAGGTACATCAATACTTGGACCAGCTCTACCCCAGACTCTCCACAGACTATGTTACCTGAAGGTACATCAATACTTGGACCAGCTCTAACCCACATTCCCCACAGACTATGTTACCTGAAGGTACATCAATACTTGGACCAGCTCTACCCCAGACTCTCCACAGACTATGTTACCTGGAGGTACATCAATACTTGGACCAGCTCTAACCCAGACCTCCACAGACTATGTTACCTGAAGGTACATCAATACTTGGACCAGCTCTAACCCAGACTCCCCACAGACTATGTTACCTGAAGGTACATCAATACTTGGACCAGCTCTAACCCAGACTTCCCACAGACTATGTTACCTGAAGGTACATCAATACTTGGACCAGCTCTAACCCAGACTTCCCACAGACTATGTTACCTGAAGGTACATCAATAGTTGGTCCAGCTCTAACCCAGACTCTCCACAGGCTATGTTACCTGGAGGTACATCAATACTTGGACCAGCTCTAACCCAGACTTCCCACAGACTATGTTACCTGAAGGTACATCAATACTTGGTCCAGCTCTAACCCAGACTCACCACGGACTATGTTACCTGAAGGTACATCAATACTTGGACCAGCTCTAACCCAGACTCTCCACAGACTATGTTACCTGAAGGTACATCAATACTTGGACCAGCTCTAACCCAGACCTCCACAGACTATGTTACCTGAAGGTACATCAATACTTGGACCAGCTCTAACCCAGACTCTCCACAGACTATGTTACCTGAAGGTACATCAATACTTGGACCAGCTCTAACCCCGACACCCACAGACTATGTTACCTGAAGGTACATCAATACTTGGACCAGCTCTAACCCCGACACCCACAGACTATGTTACCTGAAGGTACATCAATACTTGGACCAGCTCTAACCCCGACTATTTACCTGAAGGTACATCAATTAGTGTATCGTCCCAGCCCTACTATTTACCTGAAGGTACATCAATTAGTGTACTGTCCCAGCCCTACTATTTACCTGAAGGTACATCAATGCTGCAGATGTGGACATCGTCTTGTATCTTCTTCAGCTTCTCCAAGATGGAGGCAAACTCGGGGCGGGCAGGTCCCTTGAAGCTGAATCCGAACAGCGCATCTACGATGAGGTTATAGGAGTCTTTGATGAGCTGGGGGTCGGAGGGGAAGAAGGACAAGAAGGGCATGTCCATCCCCTCACACTGGCGGCGCAGGCTCTCAAACAGGGGCTTGTTGGGCTGCTTCGGGTAGAAGATGGAAGGCTTGAAGCCCTGCAAGTCAGTGTATGGAGTTGGTGAGAGGGGGATATTGAGTGTTATAGCTAATGACGGGCCATTATCACGCCTGTTGTTAGATGACTTCATTGGTGACGTAGGGACAGGTGACGTATATAGCGTTAAGGCTTGAAACCCTCCAAGTCAGTGCATGGAGTTGGTGAGACGGTGATATTGAGTGTTATAGCTAAAGTAGATAGAGTGCGCCACTGTAACTTGATAACGCCCTCATATTGTGTGACGACGGGCCATTATCACGCCCGTTGTTAGTTGATGTCATTGTTTGTTGTTTAACGCCGCACCCAGCAATATTTCAGCTATATGACGGCGGTCTGTAAATAATCGAGTCTGGACCAGACAATCCAGTGATTTGCATCATGAACATCGATCCATGCAATGGGATCGATGACGTGCATCAACCAAGTCAGCAAGCCTGACCACTCGATCCCGTTTGTCGCCTTTTACGACAAGCATAGTAGCCTTTGATAGGGACAGGTGACGTATATAGCATTAAGGCTTGAAACCCTGCAAGTCAGGGTATGGAGTTGGTGAGACGATGATATTGAGTGTTGATCAAAATTAATTTGCTTGTAGGTTAACATTGCAGTCGACAATATATAGGCTATGACAGTAAATAATCCAGTCTGGACCAGACAATCTTGTGATTGACATCATGAGCATCGTTCTAGGCAAATGGGATTCTATGACATACATCAATCAAGTCAGCGAATCTGACAACCCGATCCCGTTAGTTACAACAAGCATGGGTTGCTGAAGACCTATTCTAACCTGGATCTTCACAGGGGTGTAATGTTATGAGAAAACCCAGTTGTGTTACGATTTCTTGAGTTGTGTAGTTTTTTCACCAATATTAATGCTGGGCTAGTAAATACAACCAGTAATTGTCTGTCAAAGTAATAGATTTTTGGTAAATTGGTGGGATCCAAAGAGACAATACATGTAAAAGGTGCAGATTTAAATAATCTATTTTACAGGTGCAGATAGAGACTATCCATTCAAAAGTTGCACATTGAGACTATCCATATAACAGGTGCAGGTTGACACTATCCATTTAACAGGTGCACATTGAGACTATCCATTTAACAGGTGCATATTGAGACTATCCATTTGACAGGTGCACATTGAGACTATCCATTTAACAGGTGCACATTGAGACTATCCATTTAACAGGTGCAGATAGAGACTATCCATTTAACAGGTGCAGATAGATACTATCCATTTAACAGGTGCACATTGAGACTATCCATTTAACAGGTGCAGATAGAGACTATCCATTTAACAGGTGCAGATAGATACTATCAATTTAACAGGTGCACATTGAGACTATCCATTTAACAGGTGCACTAAAAAAGGTTTGAATTGTGACTCACAAATAGTTTGAGATGTCTGGCACAGACAAGGCCGTCCCCACCATTGTTGCCAGGCCCACAACACACCAGCACTGCACCGTTGTCCTTGGACATGTTGTCTATTGGGAAACACTGCAACAAGACACACTCTGTAGATATATACAACAAGACACTCTGTAGATATATACAACAAGACACACTCTGTAGATATATACAACACACCAGCACTGCACCGTTGTCCTTGGACATGTTGTCTATTGGGAAACACTGCAACAAGACACACTCTGTAGATATATACAACAAGACGCTCTGTAGATACACTGCAACAAGACACACTCTGTAGATATATACAACAAGACACACTCTGTAGATATACACAACACACCAGCACTGCACCGTTGTCCTTGGACATGTTGTCTATTGGGAAACACTGCAACAAGACACACTCTGTAGATATATATACAACACACCAGCACTGCACCGTTGTCCTTGGACATGTTGTCTATTGGGAAACACTGCAACAAGACACTCTGTAGATATATACAACACACCAGCACTGCACCGTTGTCCTTGGACATGTTGTCTATTGGGAAACACGGCAACAAGACACACTCTGTCGATATATACAACACACCAGCACTGCACCGTTGTCCTTGGACATGTTGTCTATTAGGAAACACTGCAACAAGACACACTCTGTCGATATATACAACACACCAGCACTGCACCGTTGTCCTTGGACATGTTGTCTATTGGGAAACACGGCAACAAGACACACTCTGTCGATATATACAACACACCAGCACTGCACCGTTGTCCTTGGACATGTTGTCTATTAGGAAACACTGCAACAAGACACACTCTGTCGATATATACAACACACCAGCACTGCACCGTTGTCCTTGGACATGTTGTCTATTGGGAAACACGGCAACAAGACACACTCTGTCGATATATACAACAAAACACACTCTGTAAATACACTGCAACAAGACACACTCTGTAAATACACTGCAACAAGACACACTCTGTAGATATATACAACATACCGTTGTCCTAAAACCTCGAGACCAAATTGTGCTGTCATGTTTTGGACAAGCACCTGTTCTGTGGTGTTTGAGAATATGTTTACAGATAACCTCAAGGGCTTCCAACCACCAGGCTAAGACATGAGGTCACTTGTCTTTCATTCAGGTGAGCTAACAAGTTTTAAAATTATCATTTTCCAGTTTTCAAGGTCACATATTTATAAATTCTCCTCACCCATTTGAGACAAGTTGGAAAGTTTTTCACATTGTGTTTTTTTGAAGTAACAAAACAATAACATACCGTATTCGACGTAATAAGCGCCCCGCTCTAATAAGCGCCCACGGCGATATTTGCTAATATATTGGCTAGTGAACAATCCCAATCAGCACCCCTTCCGATTGATCAATGTACGCAAGACTTATTTATTCGCGCATATAACGCACTCGTGTGTTATATCACCCTTAATTATGGGCAATTAAATTCTTGAAAAATATATCTGTCGTATATAAACATTTCAGGATGTTTGCATAAACCACGAAATTTACGATCTTTCAACTCAAAATAATATTCTAATAAGCGCCCCCTATTTCTAATTTTGAGAGCGCCCTGGGCGCTTATTACGTCGAATACGGTAAATCATTTTGCAGTTTTCCATGGCTATGTTTTTTTCAACAACAAAAACTGGTGACTCGTGACTGATGCCTGACTGACCCTGGCGATGGCGACGGCGCAGCTGTACCCGGCCAGCTCCATCAGCTGTTCCACGCTGAAGGAGTAGTCCTCAAACAGCTCCTGGTCGATCTTCTGGGCCTCATCCTGGCTGAAACACACAACATGGAGGTTCAGTCAACTCTCATCCAAATGAAGCCCCGAACAAGGCTTAATTTCAAGCTGCGGAAATCTAGACTTGCAAAGTCATTCTAGACTTGAGTTGGACTCCTTTTTCAATTTATTCTCCAGGGTCTGGACTGAAGTGAAACATAATCAGGTGAATCTGGGATTTAAAAAGAATATCATTCTGGCACACCTAAGGGAGGCAACTCTGCATGACTGGGGTCCTAATTCACCATTGCCTGACATCATTTAACAGTAATTTGATGGAAACTGAAGTTCTTCCAGATACTTGACCATTGATGAGTGTGTGTCATTATTCCGACAGCGTGGATAAAATCACGGTTTTGTCTGGTCCAGACTCAATTATTTACGGGGCACGGGTGGCCCAGTCGTCTACGGCGCCGCGATTTGTTGTGCAGAGTTGCGTCCGTTGGGCATGCCAGAAACCTATGATTGTGGGTTCGAATCCCGGTTCGCCCCGATTATGTTTCTAGATTTGTCAGCACCATACCCGTGCTCGTGGGTTTGACCAAAGTGGTAAGCGTCAGAGACCTGCATCACTTCGGGGTTTCCTCCCACATTAAGCTCACACGCCGTGGTATAACTGGAATACTGTTAAAACCAGCGTAAAACCCAACTCACTCACTCACACACTCACTTTAAGCCAAGTATTGATACTTGACCATTGATGAGTGTGTCATATCGACAGCATAGATGCAGTTAATAAAATCACTGTATTGTCTGGTCCAGACTCAATTATTTACAGACTGCCATCACACAGCTGGAGTATTACTGAGTGTGGCTATAAATAACAAACAAACAAACATTGCTATTTTGTTTATTTTAAGTCAACTGGATTATCATTTCTTAATTTAAGGAAATTATGTTACTAACAATAACCAGAATAATTTGCTTTATGGTAGACATGTGGAGGAAATTCCAAATTTGTTGTATATGTAACAAAAGTGATATCTGACACAATTCCCTATTTTGACTTGTACCATATGTTTTTCAGGTGAACAGTTGACCTGCCTTCGCATGTGTTTGTGACAGGTGCCACCAGTGTGGCAGGACAGGTCTTGCAAACGCCTGGTGTCATCACTATTTCATACATTTAAATACACATGCTTATGATATAGTCGGAGAACAATTACCGGGGTAACTCTGCTTTTGGCAGAGGTTTTAAATGAATATATATACTAGCCACATAAAGAAACTGTGCACGGAAAAAAATATAGATATAAGGGCACACTGTCCACATATGAAATATAGGTTTGAACACAGCAATTATTGGAGACATTCAAAAGCTCATGCACATGCCATGCGATATGACTGTCATTGATGGGGGCCTATGGACGTGCAATGTGTTACTGCACGTGCATCCTGTGCAGCTGTACACAGCATGTGCAACTCAAAATTCGCTGTCACTTTGGAAAGCATGATCTGTGGTCATTCAAAAATTCAAAACTTCTCAGGCGCAGACACAAGCATATCACAAGCAAATCATGCCAAGATTGACAGCTGCACAGCGTCATGAAGCCATTGGAATGATCCGAGTGGGAATGAGGCAACAACAGGTGGCAACACATTTCCAATGCCATCGTAACACGATATTAGCATTGGTGAGGCGTTATCAGAACACAAATGACGTTGCAGACCACCCACGTTATGGATGTCCCAAAGTAACGACGCCAAGACAGGACAGATGGATTCGAGTTACACATCTTCGACACAGGTTCCAAACGGCAGTAACGACGTCCCAGACAATCCCTGGACTGCGCCGTATCCATCCCAACACTGTCAGGAATCGTTTACGTCAGTACGGGATTCGACCACGACGCCCTGCCATACGTCCCATCCTGACACACCGTCATCGCGTCAACCGTCTAAGATAGTGTCAAAATCATGTTCGCCATGTTGTGTGACAAATTTAGAAACATAATCGGGGCTAACTGGGATTCAAACTCACAATCATAGGTTTCTGGTGTGCCCAAGAGACGCAACTCTGCACAGCGAATCGCGGCGACTTAGACGACTGGGCCACCCGTGCCCCCTGTAACAAAACTCCCTCCCTTCCCAGTCCCAGGCAGATGAGACATATCTGTAACTGGCAGGAGGTTAGTCAGGCTCTCGGGGAAACTTGACCACTCACAGAGTAAGATTTGCTTGTGTGTGTGTTTGTTTAACGCTGCACTCAGCAATATTACAGCTATATGACTGCGGTCTGTCAATAATTGAGTCTGGACAAGACAATCCAGTGATTGACATCATGAGCATCGATTCACGCAATTGGGATCGATGACATGAATCAGCTTCCCTGACATCCTGATCTCGTTAGTCAACTCTCCCCAAAAGCATAGTCGCCTTCAATGGTTGGTTGGATGGTTGGTTGGTTTGTTTGTTGTTTAACGCCGCACTCAGCAATATTACAGCTATATGATGGCGGTCTGTACATTATCGAGTCTGGACCAGACAATACAGTGATTGACATCATGGGCATCAATTCATTCAATTAGGATCTATGACATGAATCAACCAAGTCAGCGAGCCTGACCACTCGATCCCGATAGTCACCTTTTATGACAAGCATAGTTGCCTTTTACAGCAAGCATGGGTTGCTGAAGACCTATTCTACCCCGCATCTTAAACAACAAACAGACAGACAGACAGACAGACTTCTCGATGCAAGTATCGATCATAGGGTCGCACACTAAGTAAAAAATATCGATTCCTACCTTCAGTGTTTTCTTTAAAAACTGTTATACCACTAATTAGTAGTGAAAATTAGTAATGAAAATAAGTAGTGAAAACGTAAGTATTTTCATCCATTGCACCACACTTGAGACTGTCATCCTGTCTTTAAAATACAAGAGTCATCAGAAGATGACAAATCCCCCTGGGCCCCACAAATTTGAAAGAACAATTCATTTGAGTGTTACTTTAAGTCTAACTTGATGAGAGAACTTCTACCTGATATGTCTGTCTATATACAAGAGTAGTTATTGAGCTATCAAAACAATACCATGGAATTGGGATTCGGAACTTTGATTTTTATGTCAGGTACACACCACTATGGTCAAATCAAACTTGTTGCCATGGGAAATTTTTAATTTTTTTTTCTAAAAATCCCTGAATAGCAAAAGGCACCAGTTGACAACCTGGTCTTTGTGTGTTCACAGTTTCAAGGAAGAGTACCTATTAATTTTAGAGATATGATCCAGACAAACACACCATTATGAAAAGTCCTAAAGTCAAACTTGTTGCCATGGAAACAGAAAAAATATAAATTTTAAACTCCACTAAGTAGCAAAAGGTCCGTTTGACAAACTGATCTTTGAAAAACTGAGTGAAAAGTGTCATGAGTGAGTGAGTTGGGTTTAACGCCGCTTTTAACAGTATTCCAGTTATATCACGGCATGTCAGCTTAATGTGGGAGGAAAGCCTGAAGTGATGCAGGTCTCAGATGTTTACCACTTCGGTGAAACCCACGAGCACGGGTATGGTGCTGACAAACCTAGAAACACAATCGGGTTGAACCGGGATTCGAACCCACAATCATAGGTTTCTGGCGTGCCCAAGGGACGCAACTCTGCACAGGTAATATCGGCGCCTTAGAAGACAACGTGTTCGAGCTATACGATCGTGTGACCATGAACACAATGCTTAAACTTGAGACAAAAGTGGTCAGTGTGTACCTGCTCCTGCATTTATTACCCTGGTTGAATATTTTCATTAATACAGCTACAAATATTCACATTAGTCGGGTCTTTAACAACTGGCGCTTTAGACTGATTGGTAGTTTAGTTATATCGTTTAAATAGGAGACCTTCAATTGTATCGTCCTTAACTGGGTGACCCTTCAATAGTTGTGTTGAGTGTACTTGTATAACTATTTCTACCGTGACATTGAAGAGTGCTTGAGTGAGTGAGTGCTTGAGTGAGTGAGTGCTTGAGTGAGTGAGTGAGTGAGTGAGTGAGTGAGTGAGTGAGTGAGTGAGTGAGTGAGTGAGTATGGTTTTATGCCGCTTTTAGCAATATCAGGGCTGAGAACACCAGAAATGGGCTTCACACATTGTACCCATGTCGGGAATCGAACCCGGGTCTTCGGCGTGACGAGTAAACGCTTTAACCCCTAGGCTACCCGACAGCCCCTTGAAGAATGCTTGACTCTGATTGGTTAAAAAGAGGTGTTCTGTTAGCTACGGAAACCCCTTATAAATATATAAGCCCACAAAAAAGCTTAAGCACTTGGTTCCAAACTAAAATAAGAGGTATCTACTCTACACTGTGACTAAATCAAACTTCAAAACAAAGAAGGTTTATCTCCATAAACAAAGGGCAAACTAATCACAAGGTCACGAGAGCTCCAGACAAGCTTCGTATTTGAGTAAAATGGGTAAAATAAATCATCATAATCCTATCAAAATTGAGAAGAAAAAAACAATAATATAACTACTCTAATACCATGCGTACTGGGCAATCTTTTTGTTCCAAAGGGAAATAACTCTCCTTTTGAAAATATATAAGCGGGGATCCAACCTGTCGCTTCTGGTCTGGTTTCCGGATCTATGCACACTGCGACAACTAGTAACATGTAGAGATGTAATTACCTTCTCAGCCTGCATACACAAATATCCTTCCTCGTCTTTATTTACTGATCGCATGAGAGCTTCACTTACACATAAACTCCACTTGTGTGAATACCGGTAATGCCGAAATGGGTCACATTCAAAACACTGTACCGCAGTCATGTTATGAGATTTGTGAGATGTTATTCACCTCCGTCATTTTTTCAAATGTTTATACCCAAAGAAAGTTATAAATACCCAAAGGGATTAAAAACATGTGTGAGTATATTTTCAATGGGTAAAAAGAATAATTTTTGTGCGTAAGTTATAAGTTTCCGGACATGATGAAATCATTACTGCGCAGAAGATCACCACGTGTTTATGAAGACAAGCCGTGAAAGTTAGTCAACATTTTCTTTCCCTGTCTCATCCAGTGTCATCCAGACAACAATCAGGTACGAGAAACTGTATTTTCCTCACACTGAACATTCAATGTTTTTTACTTTACAATACATTGTTATTGAGAAGAGTTCTTTCATCCAAGTGAAGGAGTCGATGTGATAAAGCGGAGCATAGTTATTACATACAGATAATAGAGCCTGATAGCTAAACATTAACTGATACATTAGGTAACTTGATTAGCTGGTTGTACAGTGTATCGTGATTCTTATTCTCAAGTATAAGAAGATTAACGACACCAATACAAAGATCACTGAGCCACATGGCCTGATCACAAACACAGTATTCAAAATGTCGGTTACCATTGAATGCATCTCTGAATGAAAAGCCTCCCTTCCCACAGTAGTCAGAATGGGACGGTAGTCACGTTTCACCCCTGACTACTTTGAACATAATCATTCAGAAAATTGTTGTGAAACGACAACATGCAAATCAACAATATGCTATTCAAGATAACAGTGATTAATCAATTAACAATTTTTGATTAATATTTTCATGGATGTTTTTTTTGTAACTGGTCCTTACGCTCTTGCTGCAATGTCAAACAAAACATACACTTCACATCAGCTTCAAACCTGGATTTAGATAGAATAATTACCCCAGACAAAAGAAAAGCCAAATGGGAACCTTTGTCAGGTATTATGAGTGGAGCTACCACTAATTATACCGGTAACATAAAGTGATTGACAACAAATACATGGGTGTAGGGTTATACCAGGATACATTGATGACAACATGGTAGTGTCATTCGTATTATCCATGTACTACTAGGGCTGCAAAGGTTCGGTTCGGTGCACTGAGAACCCGTACTTGTAGTCTCGATTCGATCTTCAATCTACAATGTCTAGATTTTAATTCGGTTCAACTCAATTTTTGTTATAAATTTAAAATGTCCAAAAATGGTGAAAAAAATAGAAGAACTGCGTTCATATCAACGAAGTGAAAATGTCCAAAAATGCATTTGTTTGAAACTGATGACTGTCACTTGAACAAGTATTTGTCACAGAGTGACGAAATATCCCCCGCCTGTACACCATAGTACCAAATATGAAGACAATCCAGCGATTAGTTCTTGAGATATTGTGGCAACACCGTTTTCCAACTCCAAAAACAGATTTGCCTGCTTTGACCTTGAAAATGGGGTCAAGGTCACCAAATCTGACAGGTGTATGCGGTGTCTGTATATACACTATAGTTCCAAATATGAAGACAATCCAGCGATTAGTTCTTGAGATATCGCGGCAACACCGTTTTCTAACTCCAAAAGCAGATTTGCCTGCTGTGACCTTGAAAATGGGGTCAAGGTCACCAAAACCGACTGGTGTCTGCGGTGTCTGTATATACACCATAGTTCCAAATATGAAGACAATCCAGTGTTTAGTTCTTGAGATATCGCGGCAACACCGTTTTCCAACTCCAAAAGCAGATTTGCCTGCTGTGACCTTGAAAATGGGATCAAGGTCACCAAAACCGACTGGTGTCTGCGGAGTCTGTATATACACCATAGTTCCAAATATGAAGACAATCCAGTGTTTAGTTCTTGAGATATCGCGGCAACACCGTTTTCCAACTCCAAAAGCAGATATGCCTGCTGTGACCTTGAAAATGGGGTCAAGGTCACCAAAACCGACTGGTGTCTGCGGAGTCTGTATATACACCATAGTTCCAAATATGAAGACAATCCAGTGTTTAGTTCTTGAGATATCGCGGCAACAAACAGGTGGGACGTACGGACGTACGTACAGACGGTCGTGAATACTATATCCCCCGCTTCGCGCTTTCGCGCGGCGGGGGATAAAAAGAAATAGATTAGAGTGACCTCCCTTTGAAAGCATGGCAGACAACGTGCTGTCACCAGCCCCAAGTCATCTAAAATCTAATGTTTGGGCTCAAGTGTGGCTAGTGAGAGGGTCTTTTCAACAGCCGGGGATGTTGTGACTGCTCAGAGGGCTTCCCTCTGTAGTGACAATGTGGACATGCTGGTGTTTTTATCCAAAAGTCACGAAACAACATACTCGAAGGTGTCTGCAAGTTTTCCTACAAAGCCTGGATACAGGAAGATGACGGAAAACTGTTTATAAATATTGAAATCAACATATGGTATTCAAATAACTAACAGTTGTAAATATCTTGGTTTCAGATAATACAAACGAACAATTTAACCTAAGTGAGATGTCCCGAAAGAGTCTATTTCGAGGCGCTCAAGGTAAGTCATTCATCACTCAAAAGGCTGACCATTTTATATTCTGGGATTTCAAAATCAAAGGAATAGTTATCATTGTTCATAATTCTAAGAATACTACCTCTGTTGCATAATTTCAATAATCCTGTATTTGGGTTGTAATAACACTATAGCTAAATTTTTAGATTTTCAACAGAAGTCGTTTTCTCTGTCAAGAAATGAGAAGTGAAAAGCAATAAGTATGAGTCAGGATTAGATAAAATTATAGAAATGTTCTTTAAATCCGGTCATTTTCAGTCACTGGGTTATGAAATTAAAGCTCAAAATGTTTGGAATTCTCATCATAATAAAATAAATGGATAGATATTTCAGTCAGTTTGTAAAATACTGAATATTTAGGCATTTAATAAATTGTCTTTTACACATTGACTATGACATATACACACGATAATATAACCTATGCTCAGGTGAAATATTTAGTTAGTGTTAAAATAACTCAAAATAGTGTAAACCAGGGGTCCGGAAACCGTCATATGCGCCGGACATGTCCGATTGGGAATCTCAAATGTCCGTTTTAAAATATTGCTTACCGGACATTTTAAAAAGTATTGTCCGGATATTCTTAAATTTTGACCGGACATGATCAACAGTTAGGACTGAGCAGTTTCTGTCTGCAGTTGCAACACAATGAAGATTAACTACACTGACAAGCTTTGTTTGTTTTGATTGCTGTAAATACATCGTACCTACATGATAGTCCAATCTGTCAATCACTGTAATAGGCAATAAACTGAGTTGACACTGATTAATCGAGGATTAATTACTGAGAACATCTTGTTAATTTGAGTGAAAGGTGTTTACAACTGTACATTATTACCTTGCATCATCGATGTACCTCATAATCCTCACAATGCTACGATACGTAACCTCAGACAAGAAGCGAAAGCGTGACGACAGGCAGTCGACCGATGCAGATCAGTCGAGCGGATCTGCCAAACCCTCAAAGTCTGGACGATCATTTTGTAAGTCGTGGCTAACGACTTTCACTTGGTTGACATACTATGAGGATTTGCAGATTTTATTGTTTTCAGTAGCTAGTCGTATATTGAATCTTGATTGACCGCCATTTTGCTTTCTCGGACGATCGATATCCAATTTGTTTATGGTCAATAATTAAGTACAGATGAAAAAAGTATTCAAATAACTATTGCTATCAACGATATTTTAGTATTTGTGATTAAATAATCTGTCTTGTTTTTAAAAAAATCTTTAGTTTAAAAAAAACTTTTCCCGTGAGGTCACGTGATAACCAAATATGGGATAATAGTCTCGATCCAAATGTCACAACGCGTACACTTGAGCAGACTCATGAATATAACTCATGAATATTAACTAGACCGATCACTACGTTAACAGATCGTTATTATAACAGAAACAAACGTATTTTTTCCATGTAAATCTAAAATGATATTATTTGTTATTAATTGTCCGGTGAATTAAACAATTTAAATTGAAACAATTCATAATTCATCATATTATGAATACGTAAACTTGTAATGTGTGTGAAAAGTTGTACTAAAATACGCTATTTGAAGGGGGCGTGGCCTAAATGCAAATGTCCGATTGGGATTTTAAATTTTCCGGACTCCTGGTGTAAACAAAAATCGCACAATACCAAGCAAGTGACCTTTCAAAACTTTGTCACCAAAGATACCTACATTTCCTTATTATTTCCAAGACAAAACTATATTTTTATTTTGTTGATCAATGTGGTGATACGCCCTAATTCTATCAGTAAAAGCGACACATGCACTTACTGTCACAGGTCATAAGCTAGTCAAGATTTCTGGTATATCATCCGGGTACTCAATGGAAAATACAATAAAGGCAACAACCAGACCTGGGCCATTGATTCAGATCAGTGCCCCCTTAGAGTTAATTGGAGTGATTCCTAAATGGCTCATAAGCCAAAAAGTCCATATTATCTTCCACATACACACGTGACCTGTGCAGACACAAGAGGCATTTTCTGTATTTTATTATAGGTTAATCCTTTAAAGAAAGTAGGTTGTTTTCACATTAGAACTTCACGCCCAAATATGGGTGTATTCCGTCTGCTTTAGTAAAACTACATATATAAACACATACTTTTGGCAAATCCACTGTGCAAGATAACAGTGATGAATCAATCAATGATTTTCGATTAATATTTTCATGGATTTTTTTTGGTAACTGGTCCTTATGCTCTTGCTGCGATGTCATACAAAAAGGTAGTCAGCAAATCGACTTACCCCAGCTAGTGAGCCAAAGTGGGTTAGGGTTATACAGCCGGGTAGAAGCCAGAGATTAGAGCCCCTTTAAGAATAGCTTGAAAAGGGGCATTTGGATATCAGAGACAACTGAAAGTTTCAGAAGAATGCTAATGTCATAAAAATGTAGTTTAAAAAATTGATAAAGTGAAAAAGGAAAAGAAAAGGCACAATGTTGCCAATCAGAACCAGAAACATACCACTATACATAGCCTAACAGTCACACATTACCTTTTTCAGAGAGTGAGAACCCATCCAATCAGGACAGGCAACAACTTGTCACAAGCCACACCACTGGTGAGTAATAGTCCACTTAACTTTTCAAAAGGAAGACAAAAGTGTTTCATATATTTACCCTCTTAGAAAAACATATTGCAAGTGATGAATAGTTGGTGAACACTGTCACTATCAGATGTATCATGGCCTTGTAACATGTAACTAACAGTTGAAAATATCTTGGTTTCAGGTGATACAAAGGTACCAGTTGAGAATGAGAAAGTCACACATAGTGGAACTCCAGCCATTCAAGGTAAGTCATTCATCACTCAAAAGGCTGACCATTTTATATTCTGGGATTTCAAAATCAAAACAATAGTTATCATTGTTCATAATTCTAAGAATACTACCTCTGTTGCATAATTTCAATAATCCTGTATTTGGGTTGTAATAACACTATAGCTAAAGTTTTAGATTTTCAACAGAAGTCGTTTTCTCTGTCAACTATATATTAAGAGTTGTTTCCGTAAAAAGGAAAAATCATACAGCTCTTCCTTGTACAAAGGCGGGAAAATTCTCACTTCAACAATATGATTGAATGTTGTAAGAACATGAACTATCACGTCAATGTCATTTTCAATCCCACAGTTCAGGAAGTTTCCACTATCAGAAATGAGAAGTGAAAAGCAATAAGTATGAGTCAGGATTAGATAAAATTATAGAAATGTACTTTAAATCCGGTCATTTTTATGTCACTGGGATATGAAATTAAAGATCAAAATGTTTGGAATTTGTCATCATAATAAGATAAATGGACAGATATTTCAGTCAGTTTGTAAAATACTGAATATTTAGGCATTTAATAAATTGTCTTTTACACATTGACTATGACATATAGTCGCGATCAAATAAGCAACACTCAGATGAAATATTTAGTTTGTGTTAAAATACATCAAAATAGTGTAAACAAAAATCGCACAATACCAAGCAAGTGACCTTTCAAAACTTTGTCACCAAAGAAACCTACAGTTCCTTATTATTTCCAAGACAAAACTATTATTTTTACTTTGTTGATCAATGTCATGATACGATCTTATACTATCAGTACAAGTGACAAATGCGCCTTCTGTCATAGGTCACAAACTAGTCAAGATTTCTGGTATATAATCCGGGTACTCAATGGAAAATACAATAAAGGCAACAACCAGACCCGGGCCATTCCTGTAGATCAGTGCCCCCTTAGAGTTAATTGGCTCACAAGCCCAAAAGTCCATATAATCTTCCACACACACACACACACAAGACCTGAGCAGACACAAGAGGCAATGTGATATTCTTCTTAATTTCTTCTGTATTTTATTATTGGTTAATCCTATGAAGAAAGTATTTTGTTTATACATTAGAACTTCACGCCCAATATATCATATGTGTCACTTTGTTCTAACATAAAGTCTGGGCACTTTGATCATGGGTTAAAATCACAGTTAGCCCTGATTATGTTTCTAGGTTTGTCACCATACCCGTGCTCATGAATTTCACCAAAGTGGTAAAAGTCTGAGACCTGCATCACTTTCCTCCCACATCAAGCTGACACGCCGTGATATGACTGGAATACTGTTTAAAGTGGTGTTAAACCCAACTGATTCATGTACTCCTTAAAGTTATTTCTTTAATGTTCATCTTATAAGCATAATGTACTAAGAACAACTATCATTGTATTTTTGTTGACAGGTTCCCGGCGCTCTGATCGGTAAGGATGGCATTATTATCTCATGAAGAATTTTTAAAGATCAGAGATGGGCCTCTATTTTACTTGTTTAATCCTTTAAAGCTAAGACCAATTTAATCACTCATTATCTGTCACCTTTTAGCCATTTCGAAATAATAGGTGAGGTGAAATGGGGTTTAACGTTGCGTCCAAGATTATTGCACTTATATGCACGTGGGTGGGTGTGGCTGCTTGTACTAGTCCAGACTGATGCCAATTTATAGTGCTAGCCCACCGAGATACCATGCCGCAGTTTAACATGAATACCCCACACAAATTTCATGATTGGTTTTACAGATACGACTAAGATTTTAACCAACTTAAAAGCAAGAGAATAAAATTACAAAGTGAAATCACCCATTCTCACGAAGAATGTACAATTGCAGTTTGGAAACTAGAAAAGTTAAAGTCTCAGTAATGTAATCATTTCTTGTTACTGTCTTCTTAAGAAACATAAAGAACTTTTAAAGTCAAAACCTTTTTAAAAAAACCAAAATCTAATAATATCAAAGAAAATCTTCCTGATTTTTAATTTGAATTAAGAATATTCTATAAATTAAACTACATCATTGTGTTTAAATGACATAGATGGTATTTTTGTTCACACATTCTGGAAATATTTTGTACCTCAATAGTCAAACTAATGCTAACAGTAAAATACAACATCAGAAATTGCTCTGAAATGATTATAGTAATCTACGTTACGTAAATTGTAATCTACGTTACCTGCACGAATATTGTGATTTCAGCAAGACTAACAAGGACTAAGTATTTACTCTTCAGTGTAAACTGTCATCATTACATTTGCCACCTAGGAAACAAACACATAATAACACAGATCATGTAAAAAAAATGTTCTTCACAGAAAATGTGTAAGCTATGTTACCACTGGTAATAAACATCAAACATTCTAAAAACTGTATATACTGAATTACTATTGGAAAATTATTTATCTGGAGAGAAAACTTGATCAACAAATCTATTGATTTCCTTTTAGATCATGTGAATTTTGGTGTCAATGGCCTTCAAAACATTAGTATTGTTTATTCAAGCAACAAACATATCATCACTGCCATGCACCATAACACTAAAAAACATAAAAAAAGCAAGTGATTTATATTTCATTAATGCTTGATTTTATGTAAATTCTGACCTATTAATCTTTCAAAAGAAAAATATATACATATTGTCACCTTTTTCATTCAGAAATTCTGTAAAAACGTACACTGTTTTGTCCTGTCTTGAAATCACCTGTTTTGACTGGAAACATGGTAAACAAGGGGAACAACTGCTTATTGGTAGGAATTATCCTGCTGATGCCTTTTCTGTGTTGGCATGAACTGTAGACTTAATGTTCCTGTAGTCCTCACCAACAGTTTATCATAAAGCATCAGCGCTACGGTCTGGCATGTAACTGATACACCCCGACACCCTGCTGTTAACCTCTCTGTACCGCTGCAGATGCGCAATAGATGCGCAGACATTCACGACTGACCATTCTGGTAACCACGTAAACAATATCACATAATATCCGGGGTAAGAGTTAATTCCCTTAGCCGAGATTTCTCCAACTACGACCAGCGACAATCCAATAAACGACGTCTCTTAGCGGATTACAAAGATTTTTTTATGATATCTCTCATTAGCACATGTCAGTTGGCTGCAAATTATTTGCTGAACATGTGTGTCTTCCGGGACATTTATTTCAATTTACATTCACCACAGCCATGGACGACTTCATTCACTGGGACGATTTCGTCTTGGACCTAGATATGCCACTTGAAGAATTCCCACTCTTCGACCAGGGGTTGGTTTCGGATGACTCTTGGTCTAAATAGAATGACAGTGATGTTACCGCTACTAAGCCGTTGGTAAATACCTCCTAAAAGGTTTCACTCAAAGAAAAAGATAGGAAATGAAAATATGACGTCTGTCCACAAGCGTAAGTTTTCGGGCCGTGTGAAGGAAAAGCCGTTCTGATATCAAAAGTATTTTATAATGTATTCCATTTGTTTTAAAAATCAGCTAATATATCTCATTTTATGCTGCAATTGTTAACTATTATAAATAAACAAATATACCAAATATACTACGAACGCCACAGAAAACTACACAAGACCAAATAGCGTCCATTCCAATTTGGAATGAACGTTGGAATGCTTTGGAAAGATCGCTCATTCCAAACTTTCCAAAGCTTGGAAAGATCGATCTTTCCAAAAAATCCAAAATTGGAATGGCAACATTTCCAAACAAATTTCCAACACTGGAAATGTTTGGAATGACTTGGAATGGTTTGGAATGGTTTGGAATTGTTTGGAAATCTTTGGAAATATGGTTAGAAGGAACAAGTTAAAATATGTTTTATCAGTAATTTGAACCAAAAAAAAGACTATGAATTAGGGGCTTTAGGGGTTGCTTATATAGTAATTTTGTAATTTTGAGATTTGGAAAGAATGCCAAGAGTGGGACGAACTAAGGGAGCTGTGTGTGTTGGGTGGTTGTTAGATAAGGTAGTTTTGGTTTTATTATTTTATTTGGGGTTTAAATGCGACGAATTAGTCCTGTTTTAATTAGGTATAAACCTAAGACTTTGAATTTTTCTAATTTATTTTATGGATTTAGGATTGATTCTAGTGTAAGTCCGGTTTTAAGATTTAGGGTGGTCTGTAGTGTTGTTCGGTGTGTTTGGTAGTGTGTGCAGTGAATGAGTACGTGTTCTGGTGTTTCTTGTTGTTTGCAATGTGGGCAGTTTCCTGTTGTGTGTAGATTAGCTATTTTACGGTGATTATTTAGTTTGGTGCGGCCTGTTTGTAGTTTTGGATGGGTGTAGTATTTTTGGTTTATTTAGTTTTTTTTTTAGTACTTTCCTGATTTGGCTATTTAAGTTTTGGTATATATTTTGCCATTTTTTGTTGATTTTTGTTTAGTGAGACTTTTGATTTCTGATTTTGAGCTGGGTAAGTTTAAGATTATTTCTGGGAGTTAAAGGGATAATTTTGCTGCTTTATCTGCCTTTTCATTTCCAAACATTCCTACGTGGGTGGGGGTCCAAATGAACTCTATTTGTTTAGCTGCCCTAGTTAAGTTGTTTGAGCTATTGAGTATTTGATTTATTAGTTTGGGGTGGTTTTTAGTGTTCTATTTTTGAGGGCTTGTAGTCCACTGAGGGAGTCGGTTAGGATGAGGATTTTGTTTTTGTTTTTTAGATTGCTGATTGTGTAGTGCTGAGACAACTACTGACTGATATAGAAGATTTAACGTGCGCTTTCCGACTGCAGCGTATTTCTCACACGGGCCTGGCCGGACCATTTAGTGTATTCCGAGAAGGGTGAAAGTGGTGTGTGCAACACAAGAGGGGGCTTTTAGGGGTTGCTTATATTGACTTTTGAGATTTTTAAATTTGGAATAAATGCCGAGGTGGGTGGAGGAGGGAACTAAGGGAGCCGGGTGAGGTGGGTGTTTGTATGTTTATTGTATTTTGGATTGGTAGATTAATTAGTTTTTAGATGCGCTTAATTAGGTCTGTTTTGATTAGGAATTTCTAGTT